GATGGATGGATGGATGGATGGATATTAAACAGGTGTTATGCTGGTGTTGTCTGCATCTCAAACTGATATTTTTGAAGCTAAATATCTAACAATTTTCATGTAATATTTGTATATTTGACCAATTTCTTTCTAGCAGCAAAGAAAGACAGATGAATGGATGCATTGATGATTGGTCATCTGTTTTTTTTTTGTTTGTTTGTTTGTTTTACTGATGTTATCTGTTTCATTCCTGTTTTTAATTGGGTTGTTTTAATCATAACATTTGCTCCATCAAATTTCTTTAAAATGTAAAAAATGTTACACATTATTATGTTTTATCTTAATCTTTTTATCTCCTCTTTCTTTAATCTTTTCTCCTTTTTTTCTGTTTTTCTTTTCCTGTTCTACTTACATTGCTGTGTCCATATAATCTGTAATACTCTCTGCATGAGTGATAATAAAGCTATTTATATGCATAAATCAAGCGGAACACTATGGCGATGGCCGTACTGCTCCACTTGTGAAAGTAAAATCTGTTGGGCTCTTTTTGGCATCAAGACAATTACTCTTATTGCCACATCGCCAGACAGGCGTTACACATTTTTAATTGTTCTCGTCTGTTTTACCTTATCTCCTCTCACACGTTTAGTTCCAATTTCTTTTGCTGTTTATCTTGTTATAGAAATCCTGTGTATGTTAGCAAATTTTTTTTACTGTTTGATTCCTTTTTCATGTTAAGAAATAAAGTTTGCTCAGCTTTAAAAAAAAAAATCCCTACAATAAAGTAATTTAATATGTCTGTTACATTAGTTTTCAAATTCAAAAATTAGTGTTTTATTTTTACAAAATAATTTTTTACATTTTTATTTCTATTTACTCTCTTCAGCTTTGTGTTATTTGAATTACTAGTGTTATTAGTTATTAGTTTCTTCAATAGGAAGGTATGTAAACCTTCAAGCATACTGTATTTGTAAATGGTTTATCCCTAAAAGTGTACATTTTGGTCAATTTTGATCCATACATTTTACTAGAGTTCAAGGCACACCAGGTCTGAATTCGTTTGCAAATGCTTTAAGGTAATAATTGGAATAATTGAAGTAAAAACAAAAAAAATATATATCTTAGTAAGCATATTGTTTATTTATTTTGTTGCCCTTTACTTACCTTTTTTGCCTTAACAGGAAGCATATTAAAGCCGCAATAAGAATAACTCCCAGTATGGAACAGCCCACCAATATGGGAACCAGCAAACCTGAAGAGCAGAGAGCAACAGAAGCAGAGAGGTCTGTGTAATTTTTATAAAGCTACATATTATATTTTAGATTTTTACCTGAATTAAAACAAGGATGTTTATTATTAGAAAGCTTAGGGGTAAATCCTATCTGTAACTTTCTGTATAAAATCCACAGCAGAACTTTCATGTAGGCTTTTCAATGTGTTGAATTCAACACCAGATATGATATTTAAAAAAAACTAAACATATAAAATCAACATACCATTGTTTATCCAAAAAGAGTCATCTGAGGGCCGGAAGAAACAGGGAAAAAAGTAAGCATAAAATAAAAATAAAAAACAACCGTCATCAAAGAATAAACTCATTGGTACCAGTTATCTATCCTCACTCATTATTTTGATTCATTTAGTTTAAAAAATGCAATACAATCTGCTGCATGAGCTTTAACAGAGATGGACACATTTAACGACTTTAACATGACAAAATTTAGAAAGTTAAAGGGACATGAACATTGTTGTTTGACACAGTGTAACTTAAAGTATTCAAACTGGAACAGTGATTTTTTTAAATATATATTTAATTGAACTTTATTGATCTCACATTGAAGAAAATCACCTCTGCATTTGACCCATCCCCTTGGGGATGCCCCCTAATCTGTCTTAATCTGTCTCTGTACATTCTGCTTTTTGATTTAGAGATCAATATTAAAATAAGGAGACAGTTTATCAATATTTTATTCTAGTATTGTGATTTTATTGACAAAAACTCTCCACTGCCTGACATTTACTTCCTTGCAGGAAAGAAGAAACTAAAAATAATTTAAAAATGCAAGGGAACACAAAGAAGTTACATCAAGTGCAAAAGCTCCAAAAGCATCTCTATATACTGTCTTTACAAATACAGGTTCAAAGTCATTAAACCAAAGAAATGTTGCATTCAACAAGAGTTTGTACACAAGTCCATATGTCAGGTTATTAGACCCCATCTACTATAATTAGCTTTGGACTTAATAGCAAGTGTTAGCCAGACATATTCTGTAAACCGTATCCAAAATGTTGATATGAAAATACAACAAATTACCAACCAGTTATACATCTATAATAATGTAATAAATTAACATAGTAAATGGTCATTTATTACATGACACAAAGCAGAGGGGAGGGGTCAAAATGAGTCTGTTGTTGAACACTATTGTTGATGGCTGCAAAAATGACTGTGTGAGCTACGTTCAGAGACTCTCTAGTCTTCCCACTCCATTGGCAAAAGCCATGGATGTGGATGACGTCGACTAAGAGGTTTCTGCTGCACAGATACGCTGCCATGTTTTGTCCTTGACCCCCTGTCTTTAGTTGCAGGGGAAGTCTTCCTTGGATTCATGAGGGCTTTTGTCAGAGAGCGGTCCAGCTCCAAAGCTTCATCAGTTGGACGTCTGCTGAGAATGTGTCTGATGGTAGGGAGAGCTAAGTCTGACTTACAGTCCAAGTAGCTCTTGAGGTTGAGCTCTGGGTAAATTAAGTCTCTGAGAATTCTGCTCAGCTCACTTTCAGCATGGGACTGTCTGAGCTGATGCTCCAGTGAAGTGAAGCATAGAGTGTTTTCCTCCATTCCAAGCTTTCCAACAAAGCGGTTGGTCTGACTTTTCCGAAGAGATGGATTCTTAGTTTGTTGTTTTGGTTTGGCCAGAGTCACACTCAGCTGGCTCATGGTATCTTTCCTGTTGCCAGCCCGGACTGTCTGTGAACCACTTGGTAGGAGCTGATACAGCCCCTCGTCTGCCAAGTCTGCAAGGTCCCCTGCCAACAGCTGATGGACAACTTGCTTCCTCTTAAATGGAGGTGAGACTGTAAGAGTACCATGCAGTCCTCTGCCTGCGTCAGACACAGAGCCAAAATTGTTAAACTTTCCTTCCTTGTATTGATGCTGTTTTTTAGTTCTGCCATGCAACAGTGGTGCTGATAGCAATGCAGAAAGAGGGCGGGCTGTGAAATGCAAAATGTCTCTGAGCAAAGTTAAAAGCAAGGGATTTCAAAATTTGCCAGTAGAAAAGCTTTGCCGTGAAATAAAATTGCTGAAAATGAAAACAACATGCGCATTCATACCCCAACATGGCTCATATGTTATAAAATGTGAAACGCTTCAATTAAAAGCTTAAATAATATATTTAATAATCTTAGCATAAAACAAGCAAATGATGCCAAAGCCAGCGATGCAGTCCTTTATTTTATAGAGAAATAACCTAAAGCTGTTTTATTACTTTTCTCATATTTATTTTAATCAAATGCATTTTTACCTTCCTTAAAAGACACCAGGACAACTCGGCTGTCAACAAGCTGTGGTTTCCTAAAGTTGCCATGCAGAGGTGTAGCTGTAGAGTCCTGGGCATAGGAGGAGTAGAGGGCTGTTGCTAGTGCCAAGAACTAAAAGACAAAAGTATAGAACAAAACAAAAGTTATCTAAAAGATTTTTCCACATGATGAAAGTTAAAAAGTTACGAACATGCACGTTCATATTTTAAAAGGTAAACATAATTTACAGTTTCATATTGAATTTAATTCTAAGATTTAGACTTAGACAACTTTTATTTGCATTTTGTATACACAGAGGGCCGGATTTATCAAGATCCAATTTTGCGTGCAGTAATTTGCGCTCGCAAA